CACCATGCCTGGCTAATTTTTTTCTATTTTTAGTAGAGACGGGGTTTCACCGTGTTAGCCAGGACGGTCTTGATCTCCTGACCTTGTGATCCACCCACCTCAGCATCTCCAAGTGCTGGGATTATAGGCATGAGCCATCGCACCTGGCCTAGGGCAGTTCTTTATAGCAGCATGAAAACAGACTAATATAACATTAAAGGAAACTCAGAAGTCACCATTAAAGCAGTAACCAACAATTGAGCGCTAGGTGTTACACAATATGTTTTACGTTATCTCTTTATCTTCATATTTTATAGATGAGGAAATCACAATATAGAATGGTTAAGTTACAGACTAAGGTCACAGGGGTGAGTAAGAAGTAGGCAAAAACAGGAATTCAGGTATTTGGGTTACAGGACCTAAGATATTAGACCATGAAGCCACTGCCATTCTACCAAGAATGTTTTAGTATCTCTGTGTCTCTTTGCAGTTTTTGTGTGAGATCATGATTTTATGAAGTTTCTAATCAATACACATACAATTCTGTGTTCTACTTTTTTTTTTGAGACAGGGTCTTGCTCTGTTGCCTAGGCTGGAGTGCAGTGGTGTGATCACAGCTTGCTGCAGCCTCAACCTCCTGGGCTCAGGCAATCCTCTTACCTCAGCCTCCCAAGTAGCTGGGACCACAGGCACGTGCAACTGTGCTTGGCTAACTTTTTTTTTTTTTTTTTGTAGACAGGGTCTTCCTATGTTGACCAGGATGGTCTCGAACTCCTGAGGTCAAGTGATCCTCCCACCTTGGCCTTCCAAGTGCTGTGGGAGCCACATCTGGCCTACTTGTTTCATCTAATGTTATTTCAAAATATTTTTTCCACCTACCTACTGTCTTCATATGTAACATTATTACTGGCTACCTACTGTTCTGATAAAAGTGCTGAATTTTAATTGTTTTAGAAGATTTGCTTTTTAAACATTAACTCATTGATCCAAGAGTTTTTAACCTGGTAGCTATGGGATTCAGGGGATCACAGAACCCTCTGAAATGACACGTAATTGTTTCCATTATGCACTTTTCTATTTTTTTTAAAACTTTGTCTCATGGTTTTATCTGAATGCATTTTTCTGAGATGAGATTTTACCTAAGTCTCAAAGTGGTTTGTAACCCAGAGTTAAGAATTATTGTTTATCTATAACTTATATACTTAATGTATCTAGGCTCATTTTCCATTATATGTATATTTTGCTTTTTTGCTATTAAAAAATAAATTTGACCACAATAAGACAATCCTTAGGGTTTGAGAAATT